AGTGATGAAATCTTAGAGAGAAGATGGAAAAAATTTGAAATCTCCAAACTTAGAGAGAGAAGTGAGTGGCTACTGATGGATGGGAAGGAAGATGGGTTCCTTATGGTTTTAGGGTTTTGCCATGTCACCTAAGTGGCTTTCTGTTATTTAGTGATACTCGGTGTAATTTTTCTTTGAACTGTTATCAAATTTTTACTCGAAAATCCCCAAGATCCCAAATTTAAGTAATTAATATTAATTTTATTTAATTAACATATTTCTATCTCAAAAATCTAATTAGTATCTCACATATACGCTTATTGCTGTTTAACTACACTATAGTCCTTACGAGTATCCTTAACTGTACCAGGACTTCCTAACTTTCTTAACTTTACATCATTGGTCTAATTATGACTTGTTTGACAGATATTGGACTTATATTCTCTTTTCTCATCTTTATTTTTCGTTTCTATACCATACCGGCTGCTGTCACAGCAGTACAAATTACCGGGTAACAATGATTTTATCGAAATACCCTAATATGGATATCAGAATTCACAAAATCAGATCCTCTTATCATTTATGATAATTACATCCTTAGAATAATCCTCTATCTCAGATTCTTTGGTTAGGGTTAGTCAGATACCTGTTACTGTCATAGCAGTACCAACTATTAAGTCAAAACTCACTTTCTCAGAATACCCCCAATATGGGTTTCAATCTTTTCAAAATTGAATTCTAAACTCATCTATGATACTGATATTATTAGAATAACTTTCTAACTCAGATTCACTTGATTAGGGTGATTCTACTGTCTATTGCTGCATCAGCAGTCAAAATTAATAGGCAAAAATCCACATGTTTAAAATACCAGCAATATGGATATCAAAATTCATATAATTTCTTCCTCATCTCATTAATGACCCTTAGTGTTGGACAAGTGGCTTCAATACTCAAGAGGGGGGGGGGGTGAATTGAGTTTTACAAAATCATTTCGCAAAGTACCTCCTTTGATATTTTAAAGACTATTTCTTCAATAAAGTGATTTAATAAGGAAAAATCTAAGTGTAAGAGCAAGTGTAGTGAACAACAAAGTAAGTAATCGAGTATATAAAGACAATCTAAAATGCAATTTCAATACTTAAATAAAGAGATTAAGGTTAGAGAAATTACAAACTAGATGTATCCTGGTTCGGTCACCACCACCGTGACCTACGTCCAGACTGAAGCCGCTCGATCAATTTTTTTCACTAACTATCAAGCTTGAGGGTTCTTGACAAACCACTACAACTTTTCAAGACGTCGGGCTCTTGATGCCTTACAATTTTTCACTCCAAATTTTCTTAGGAATTTGGTGACCTTTCAAGTGTATAGGGTTCACTCCCCTAACTATTCAAGAATTCAAAGGAAGGTGTTTAATAATGGCTAAGTACTCTCAAAGTACAAATAACACAAGTTGAAGAACAATGGTATATGACACTCTTCACAAGAATAAAGCTCAAATAGAGTTTATGATCAAGAAGACAAGAATAATGCAAATAGGATGAGAATTAATGAGTAATAATGATCAAGAAGTGTGTCTCATCAATGGGAACAATAGTCTCTATTTATAGAGGGCCCCCATGGCCTTTTTCCTACTCATTTTCGCAAACTAGCCATTTTATAGACGTTATTTTTTTCTCTGTACAGTAGGTAATCGATTACCATTGAGTGGGTAATCGATTACCATGAAGGGTAATCAATTACCATTGTTGGATAATCGATTACCAACCAGTTGAAATGTTGGTTTTCGCCCTAAAATGGTTTTCTCTTGATTCACATCATTTTCAAATATTGTTTAAACATTTTATGAACATTGAAAAATATGTTTTCATGTTAAGAATGTATTTGAATGTCAAACGATGATTTAATGCATGTATTTGAAAAATACTTTGAGCTTCGTTCTTGTAAGGAATCAATTTACAAATAATCCTAAGTCCTACATATATTACTCTGAGTTTGGACTTAGAGACTTCTCTTGAAGCTTGAGTCTTGATTTTATTTAGACTTCTTTTTTATGGTTGCACCTTGAAGCTTTCTTTCCATGCTTGTTTGTTATCATCGAAATCGTTGAACCTTTATATTCTTTTCATAGAGTGCATTGGTTCCACACTTAGGTCCTCATAATGACTCTCTAATTTTGAATTATCCAAATTAGGGCTTTTATATGAAGTTCTTGATAATATTTCTAATGAAGGAAAGATAGCATCACATCGTGGAGATGCAGATAATGCATACTAATCATTGATATCTTTTGATTTTACCATCATATTGCACCTTATCAAGGAAATTACGGGTATTACTGAAGTCTTTTGTCAAGCTTTGCAACGAGAGTTTCAAGATATTTCAAATGCGTTGCATATGGTTTCAACTACAAAAGACTTACTTCAGAAATTAATAGAGACATGTTGGGATGCTTTATTGGTTCATGTTCAAGAATTTTTCATAAAATATGACATTGACATTCCAGATATGAGTACAAAATATATTGAAAGGAGAGGTCGTGCTCGAAATGAACAAGGTGATTTTTCTACTAAAAAATTTTATAGGGTAAATATCTTTTGTGCTACAATTGATTATCAATTGCAAGAATTAAATAGTAGGTTCAATGATAATACTTTTGAATTACTTGCTTTGAGCATGACTTTAGATCTAATAAACAGGTACAAGTCATTTAATAGTAATGATATTTGCAAACTTGTGGATAAATTTTATTCCAAATATTTCACAAAACAGTAAAAATTGCATTTGAAGATGGAGTTACAACATTTTGAGCTTGACATTCCTAAACATCCAAATTTGATTAATTTATCAACTACATCTAAATTATGTCAAGGCATAACAAGAATTGGAAAGTCCACATTTACCCTCTTATTGATAGAGTGATTAGACTTATACTCATTATTCTAGTTTCTACAACATCTACTGAAAAATCTTGCTCAGTTATGAAGAATATCAAGAACAGGCTTCGAAATAGAATGGAAGACCAATTTCTTGATGATTCTTTGATTACATACATTGAAAAAGAAATTATTTTGAGTTTTAGTGTAGATTCAATTATAGATGAGTTTAACTATATGAAAACACGTAAAGTAAGAGTTACGTGAAGTGATCTTAATTTCTATAATAAATTTCTTTCAAATTTGTGTATATTAGGTCTGTATTGTATTTCAAGTACTTTATTTATAATATACTATTTTTTTATCTATGCTCCGTGTCACTCAAATTCCTGGGTCCACCCCTGGGTTAAACTAGGACATGATAGAGACCGTGTTTGGCTGCAATTCCACAAATTCTGCCCTTAAAGAGGTTGTTACTAGAAAATCAATTCTTCTTATTGTTGAACTGGAGAATAGGGTGCTAGGCCCCAAGAAATCCCAAAACAAAGCTATACTACTCAGGGCACTGAATGTGACAAGAGATGAGGGGTCTAAACCTCTTTTTTTTTTTTTTTTGTATCCTATGTCGGAAGCTCTTTTAGATGGTAAGTTGATTACTCATTCTTTCTTATTTCTAGATAGTAATTAAAATTTAATTGTACCGTAGAGGAGAAAACTTTTAAGTCATGTTTTGCAACTTTTAAAATGTTGGAGATTTTTATTTCTACAAAATTAATATATTTTTTGGACATATTGATTGATAGATTTTATAAAAATTAATATCATATAATATATTTGAAAAAATTATATAAATTCTTTATTAAAAGATATTTTTGTCGAAAATATTTATTTTTATCCTATCTAGTATTATACAGTGTATTACTAAACACTTGATAATATTATCTTATATAATATGTTATCTTATATAATACCATGCCAAGTAGCATTAAAATTTAATCAGACTTTATACAATCATACCTTATACTATCATGACTTATCCTATTTCATACACCAAACATATGCTTTAGGAATGTCTTAAGGAGGCGTTTGGTTGAGGAAATTTTTTTAGAATAGCAGGGAAATGTAATAGATAGAGAAATGATTGGAAAGATAGATAAAGTGAGATAGGTAGAAAAATGTAAAAAAAAATTGTTTGGTGGGGAAAAACTTTACTGGAAAAATTAGGTAACTTTATGAAATCAACAGTGTATTAAAAGCCAGATAATCGATTTTCCGAAAAATCCCACCTTCAAATTGGGTTTCTAAACAGTGCGAATATCTATATTTCTCATAAATTCATACAAATTGGATAGATGAGTTTTTGGTGAAAATACGTGGAAACAAACATGGTGTTTCTAAAAGCCATACTTGAGAAACATAGATATCCGCTGAAAAGCTCTCAACCAAACACCACCTAAGAGTTTGATGGACCTATGTTAAGGATTTTAGCATGCAATAAAGTACTTATGTGTATGGATATTTTTAATATTTTAAATGAAAATTAGTTTCATACATTAGCGGTTATTATTTTTAATGATATTAAGAAATTGATTTTTCAGGAACCAACGTCCCAATGCAATTTTTTTTTAAATTTATTTATATTTAATAGTTCAAATATCTAATAAATTAGAATTATTGGTTATAAATAGGATGAGCAATTAAAATTGAGAGTATAATTTACCTCGATATAAAATTATTGAAAAAGAAAAAAAAAATATGAAAGAAAAAGGAGAATGAAAGCCAAAAACTTTTTGATAAAAATTAATTTTCTCCTAAAAATGCAGGCCTTATTTCTCTTTCAAGGTAAGGGTTTAGTATTCAGGTAATATTAAATTTAAATACTCGTGCATTATCTACTAATTTTTTTAAAAAGTTTAATCTACCTAGCTGTATTTATCTACTTGTACATTATCTACTAATTTTGAAAAAATAAAATAAAATCGATCTATCGAATTTTATTTATCATTGCACTCGTTTACCACATAAGTCCCGCATTGTTAGGGTAATTTAAGATTTACTCTCCTGCAACTATTGACTAGTGTAGTGTGTAATGTTTAATGTCCTCGGTTTCATAAGTCAAACTCAAAACTCTCGTGTCTCTGTCTCTCTTTCAGTTCTCGTTCTCTCCGACCGAGATCTTCTACCTTTGCTTCTTTCACCCTTCACCTTCTCCTTCTCCTCTTCCTCTTCCTTCATTCCTTCGACTCCTTTGAGTTTCATTTCATCATTCTCTTACTCTTTTGATGGGTTCCATCTCACAATTGATCACCACTACCAACCCCATTAATCATTCTCACCTAACTTCTACACGCTCCTGTGCACTCCAATTCTCCCACTCCAATTCTCGTCACCTCTCACTGCCACACGCGAGAGTTGCCAAGAAAGTTGGCGTCTTTGCTGAACTTAGCAACCGAAGCTTCACTTCCACAGCCATTGATTTCAGTGACCCTGATTGGAAAACCAAGTTCAAGGAGGATTTCGAGGCCCGTTTCAGACTTCCCCATATCACTGACACCTTCCCAGATGTTTCTCCTATTCCTTCCACCTTTTGTCTCAAAATGAGGTTGGTTCCTCTTGTTCCCTTTAAACTAAACTTAAAATCTATATATTAACAAAAAAAAAAAGAAAAAAAGAAATCTGGAATCTATGTTTTTTGTAAATGGGTTTTTTGATCTGTGACAGAACTCCTATTGATAGTGATATTCCTGGTTATTATTCTTCCGATGAGGAGTGGCATGGATACATTAATAACAATGACAGGGTGCTTCTTAAGGTATGGATTTCACTAATTTTTAATCAAATTCGCTCTCAATGTTAGCGCAGGTTGTGATCAACATAGGTGTGAACTTTCACAGTTGGACTAATTTATACAGTTTCTGTTTTTATTTATTTATTTTACTTATTCTGGCTTTGATATGTCTTCTGTTGATAGTAGATAGTGATACAAATGAATTGCTATGTTGGATATTGATTGATAGAGTTTAAATGTCATGAGGTGGTGCTGAATGTTAATTATTGGTTTGCTTTGTCTTTCAGACAATATACTATTCGTCGCCTACATCTGCTGGTGCTGAGTGCATTGATCCTGATTGTACATGGGTGGAACAATGGTAAGGCATTTGATTCCCCAATTTTAAACTGGAATATTATGTTTGATTGAACATTTTCCATTCAATTAGATGTGATTGTTGCTATATTGCCATATATTGTCTTGTATCTTAGAAGGTTGATTTGAAATTCGTGCTGGACAGGGGATGTAATTGTTCAATAGGTGGCACTAAAAACACTTTCTCATACCAAAATGTCTCTTAAAATGTTTCATTAAAATTAAGGGGAAGTTTAGGGCTTTGAGAATTCAATGTCCCTTTCTAGCAGGATATTCTAACCATGATTTTGAAGGTTAAATCCATATCAATATGCTTATTACCAGTGAATTTGCTCTTTACCTGTGATGTTTTCTTGTAATTTTTAGCTAGAGTTGAATACAACCCTTTTTGGTTGTTCGCATTTTCGCATTGTGTATTGATGTACAGATACAACAACCAAGCCTTATCCCACTAGTTGAAGTTAACTAAATGAATGGATCTGTTCTATTTAGTTCTATGATAAACCAAAATTTCAGTAATGTTATGCTTAGGTCTTTCTAATGATTTCGATAAAGTTTCCTCTGGCCTTATAAGATTATCTTTCATTTGATTCAATTTTCTTTTCTCATTACAGCCTCTATTGTGTCTCTTCTCACTAAAAACCAACTTCAGCTAGTTTTCGTAATCTTCTCCTCAATAGTTGCTACTCTAACTTTCTCTCAGATACATTTGTTCCTAACAGGGCTGGGCAAAAAATTTGTGTGAACTGAACCAAACATTTAATAACCAAACTTCTTAAAACTAGTTCTTTATAATCCAGTTATTTTCAACTCCAAATAAATACGGTTATGACTTCTTCTATATGGTTCAGTGAACCAATATTTAATCAAAAATCAAACCAATAGTGTCCTAGAAGCCACATTTGGCAACAAGATCCATGGCCATCAGTAATCGCTTCTTAGATCAAAGGTGAAACAAATATTCAAATTGATAACCTTTTCTCTGCTATCAAAACCATGGTCATTGCCATCTTCATCATCAATGTACGAATCTACTTGCAGAATTGGCCACTGAAGGTTCAAGGCAGGGCAGAGCATATCTCACTGAGCCAGTGAGGGCCCGATAAGCATTGTTGCTACCGCTGAGCCAGCCCACTGCTGTTTAGAGATAGCTCACCACTAGCAAAGATTTGCAACATTTTGTCATTCATTTGTGAGTTTTGGAACCATGGTGTTGCAGATTTGTGGGAAATGGTTTAGTTTGTGCAAGAAACAGTTGGCATTTTATAATTTATTTTACTTGTTCATAGTTGTTGTTGTCCATGCTATTTTCCTGTTTGAACAATGTAGACTGGTTCACTGAACCAAAAAACCAGTTTACAGTGGTTCAGGTGTTTTCTCAAAAGATAGTAACAAGTTCAGTTTGGTTTTTGAAGCCACATTCTCAGTTCAGTTTATTTCAGTTTAGTTTTTTCGAAAAAACTGAATCATGCACAAGCCTAGTTCTTAATCCTATTTTTCTGGTAATAGGGATAACGGTAAGGCCGTATGTTTGGAACATTGGCTCCTTCCTTTAAGAGTATGCAATGGTCACAATGCCTGATGGGAGGTTGACCCGAAGGTTGCTTGAAGACTTCCGGGTGTTGTTGGAGCATCTGTGCTACCCCCTCCGAGAGGTTGGGTGGGTTATCATCCGCCACCGTTGCAAACCCCAACTTCAGATAGTACCTCTTAGCCCCTTTCCTTAAGGCTTTTCCCAAACCCTTAAAGGAAAATTTTCCTTTTGATAGAGAAGGATCCCCTTTTGTTTCCACCATCATTCCTTCTCTCAGCACCCGAAACGTAAGTTCCTTGAAATTTGCCCATATTTTGCCCAACCCTTCTAGCCAAGCATAACCCAAGATGAAATCTTCCCCACTCAAACTAAAGAGAATGAAATCATGAACAATCGACACACCTAGCAGCTCCAGTTTGAGTCCGTGGCATTTCCCTGGACTTCGAACCTGATACCCATTACCCACTGTCATCGTGTGCGTCTTTGCCTTGTTGACTGAGATGCCTAACTCCGAGGCCAAGTGATCAGCCAAAAAATTGTGTGACGCCCCCGAATCTATCAACACCACCACTCGACGACCACATATTTCGTCCCACAACTTGAGCGACTTTTAGTGGTTAACCCGGCGATGCTATGCACACTCAGCTGAAGTGCTGTCTTCGTTTTTGGCCCATTCGCATTCAGATTGGCTTATGGTTTGTCGGCATCTGTCTCTCTAACTCCCAGTAGCAGCACATTAAGACTGGGTTCTGGCAGATGTGATCCAGAGAATATGGTGCATCGCATCGGTAGCATACGTTTCGCCGCCGCTTATCGATGAGTTGCTCCGGTGACAAACGTTTGTATCGAGCTCTAGTTCCCCCATTGAAGCTAGGGTTTCGATTGTTAGAAGCCCCACTGGTATCCATGTTCGATGCTGGACCCCATGGTTTTGACCTTCAGGAGATCCGTTTAGGGTAGTATTACTTGGCCCACTTTGTCCAAGCCCAGTTCGCCCTCCACCCGCAGATGCGTTGAGTCTTTTTTCCACACTAGCAGACCTATTGGGCAGGGCCGTTCTGGCATAATGGGCTCCGTTTGATCCTAGCCCATTACCTGCCTTCCCCACCATTGTCCCCAATCTCCCTAGCACCTTCTCTCTTTCCTTTACTCGTTGAGCCAAGGACATCAAGGTTTCCAAGTTGCTCAAATTATGCTGACGGATTTCTGTGCGAATCTCTTCCCTCAGCCCATTAATGAATGCAACTCGCATTATTCCATCATCAGCATGACGGAGCGGCGTTGCCAATAATTCGAAGTTCTCTCAATACTCCACGACGGACCCGTTTTGTCGAAGGCACATGAGAGCCTCGTAGGGGTTCCCCGAAGAGGATGAATGAAATCGTTGCAGTACAGCCAGGTGAAAATCCTCCCAATGGATGGCTTGGTTTCTAGGTTCCCACCATTGGAACCAGTTTAGAGCTCTTCCTTCCAAACAAACTGACGTCGTTTTTCCTGTTCTTCCATGGGAATCCGATTTATTCGAAAATAATGTTCTGCCCTGTAAATCTATCCATATGGATCATCCCCAGCAAAGTATGGGACTTCCACCCTCCTTATTCTTTCTTCCTCACCTGCATTCCCCATGGTACCTCCACCGCCTGTGACTTCCTCCGTTCTCCCCTGCTCCACCTCTGTTGGGTTGAACACGTTTGTACCTATGCAAGTGCTGCTCCATTCGATCTATGAACTGCGTAAGCGTCACATTAAATTGCTGAATCGAATTTTCCACTCCCACCAGACGACCATCAATCCCACCTGTGCGTTGTTCGTTCTGTCCCAACCTCTGCTCGATCTCGTCTACTCTTGCCTCCATGTGTGACCTTACCATTCACCACGTTTTCTCTTCTCTTCTTTTTATTTTCTTTTCAGGATCAAGAGCTTTGATACCAAATTGATGGCACCCAACAATATAACAGTAAATAATCACAGAAAATTAACATGGAAATACTTCTATTGATGCAATAAGGAAATGGAGATAACTCCTTTACAGACATAATGATAATGGTGAAATCAGAGCAAAGCAACATTGACTCTTCACTCTAAGTACATACTTCACATGCAGTAACACACCATTGCAGAACACTAATACTGGACACGAAATTAAGACTAACAATACTAATGGCACTATGGAAACGATAACAGTAATCAGAACTCCCTCAACAAGGCAATCCACTACCTCATTGAGCTTCCCTTTCCCACCTTACTATTGCAATATTCTATGATGCCGTTCCACGTTCCCTTCTCTTCCCTTATAACTGAATATTCATCCTTCATCCCACCCACTCTCCCCTTGCCATTCAGAGCCATCCACATGTCCATCTTTCTAACAATCTCCTCCTTTTCCTTTTCTCCCACCTCCTTGCCTTTGTCGTCCGCTCTAACACGCCCCTCATTGGATTTGGGCTGTTGGTTAATCTCTCCATTGGCCTGTTGTTGAGTAATTTCTCCCTTGGGCAGTTGTTGATTAAACTCTTCGTTGCTCTCGGGCTGGTTAGGCTGGTTTTGGGCTTCTCTGGCTCTATTTCTCCATCTTCTGCTTGTGTATACTCGAATCGGGGGTCCATCACAACCCCATCAATCATCCCATCACTTTGTAAAATGTATCTGCAACTAGTGGTATGATGTGATCTCCAATTTCCACCTCGAAAACATTTGCTGACTTGCATCTTGTGAAACGTGCATTCTAAATATTGTCTTACTTCGACTTAACCAAGAATCCATTGTTTCCAAAGCAAATTTTAATAATGTAAGGATATCTAATTCAAGTTGTTATTGGCAAGGTTTCATAAAGCTATGTGGTTCTTTTGATATGATGACAGGAAATATTGAGACCTCACTGCTTCACACATGCAAATATCTCATTTAGGTTAATAATAATTTTGGGAAAGAGAAATAGAATGACATACACAAATTTATTTGGTAGCCACCTGAAAGTCTGATACACAATTTGTTGGCATTCAAATAAGGATTTCAAGGCATACAAAATTTGTTGGACATTGGGATGTGAATATCACAATCACCTTAGTGCTTCTTTTATAACAATAATTATCTGGGTTACCAAATATTTGTTTTACTTCTAATTTCTGGTTTCAATATCTTTATAAGTCTTCTTGATGTATCCAATGTCATTTTCTAATATTAGCATATATGATAAGAGGTTCTGAAATCTTTTTAGGGTTCATCGTGCCGGGCCTCGGGAAAAGATATACTTTAAACCAGAAGAAGTAAAGGCAGCAATTGTTACTTGTGGAGGGCTTTGCCCTGGTCTTAATGATGTAATAAGACAGGTTAGTCTGTGATCACATTATGTTTCATAAAGCTTTGACTTTTTCTTATGAAAAGAATAAATCCTAGCAGGTGCTCTGGAAGTTAAGGTATCAAAAAGTTATTAGAGAAATGTAACACTTTAATTTGTGTTGATTATATCTTCCTGTCCTGACTATTAATATTAGTCATCACTAAATTTTCTAGGCAATAAAATGCATGTGCCTAAGCTATTGACTAATTGACCCAAGATATATTCTTTGCTTTGATGTAATGGTCTAAAATATGTTATAAGCATCCCCCCTCCCTTGCATTTAGGTATTCTAAATTGTTTTTACATCTTGTAGTATACGTTGTTCCTAGTTCAGCTCCCTTTAAACTTAGTTCTAGTTATTATGGTCACTAAATTGTTTCTCAGGGTAATTGTTTCAATAATGAATGTTCTGCAGATTGTAATCACACTTGAAATATATGGTGTAAAAAAGATTGTGGGGATTCCTTTTGGTTATCGGGGATTTTCTGACATAGAATTGACAGAAGTGCAGGTAATGTCATGTTTCCCTGCTTGCTGATTTTGGTGTAATGCCAGTAGATTCATCTAAAGATACAGTCTGTAGAATAGGAGTTCTTCTTCCTAATGATTCTTAACTATATTGGGCTTTCATTTGCAGTTGTCAAGGAAAGTAGTCCAGAACATTCATCTTTCTGGTGGAAGCCTGTTGGGAGTTTCGCGAGGAGGACCTGGAGTCAGTGATATTGTGGACAGTCTAGAGGTGGTTGATTGATCTGATCTATTGACAAACTAATTGATGATTTCACAGACAGGGTTTTTATGATTTAGGGTGCTGTATTTGTCCGACTTATATTCTCTAATATGCATATTATTGATTTCAGGAAAGAGGGATTAACATGCTTTTTGTACTGGGTGGAAATGGCACACACGCTGGTGCGAATGCAATTCACAATGAGGTTGTTAATCCTTTAGTCTTGTAAAATTGATTGTATTCAATTTGGATTATATTATGATCTAGGTTGGGTTGGAAATCATATCTTGGAATCAGACTGTTCATTGAAATTCATGGAAAATTTAATTTTTAATTAGGCTTTACTTACTGTGTGTTACACCTCTTGATTATTCCAAGGTAAGAATTACAGAAATGGGGTAAGGGGAGGATGGAAAGGGATGGAAAATGAAAGTAAGAACAATTTTATTGATTAATAGGACAGAGTAGAGGGACACAATTTAAGAGCAAGCTCTTCTCAAGGGGCACTCCCCTTCACACTGAGAGACATCTCAGTTAATTTTACAATACAATTCCCAAAAAATGATTATGACAGAAAGAATGTTGCCCTTGTATAGTTGAGGGACTATCTACTCCTAACAACCTAACCACCCAACTAACAACTACCTGACAACTATAATATGGGTAATAACACTGTGCCTTATTGTTTTTGTATAGCTCAGTGTTTAGTGTTAACATTAAACTGGATATTAGTATTTTAATGTGCATTATGTGTAATATTAAAGGATTGTCAGTAATTTTACATAATCTTTTAATTTTTAAGCTTGTCCTGGTAATTTGTGATTGTATTTAATGAACTGAGATTTTTTGTTTCTTGTAGTGCCGCAAAAGACGGCTTAAGGTATCTATAATTGGAGTGCCTAAAACTATTGACAATGATATTCTATTAATGGACAAAACTTTTGGCTTTGATACTGCTGTTGAAGAAGCACAAAGAGCAATAAATTCTGCATACATTGAGGTAAAATTATTCTTATTTTGAATCACTTTGACTCAATCCAGTAATAGTTTCTAGTCAGTACATATTAAAATATTAAAATATCTTTCCTTATCTCTTATTAGGCACATAGTGCATATCATGGAATTGGGGTTGTGAAATTGATGGGCCGTAGCAGCGGATTCATAGCAATGCAGGCATCCCTATCTAGTGGACAGGTTGACATATGTCTGATTCCTGAGGTATATATGATAAGAATTTGTTTGATGATGTCGCTTTCTATGTCATACTGATAAACTGATGTAAGTTTTGGCTGTGGTTTTAAGGTACCTTTCAATTTACATGGACCTCATGGAGTATTGAGTCATCTCAAGTACCTTTTAGAAACGAAGGGATCAGCTGTAGTCTGTGCGGCAGAGGGAGCTGGACAGGTGATTTAGATTATGTAATCAAATTCACACTAACAAATAAGCAATATTTTCATTATTAAACTTATTCTCTTATACCTATGGAAATCTTAACCAACAAAAAATATATTAATGAAATTTCTTTTCAAGACTTTTACATTCAGATACAGAAGCTTGAGCTTGCTAACTGATAAATTCTTATGCAGGATTTACTTCAAAAGACTAATGCTACCGATGCATCAGGAAATGTTGTATTTGGAGATATTGGTGTATATATTCAACAAGAGGTTTGTATTGCTTGTTTATGGGACTTAAAATAATCAATGGATTGATACCTGATGATGGAATGGATATATATCGTTTAATTTGTTACACCTAGAAAATATTAAAACAAATATGAATAAAACAACATCTAAATTATCAAATAACTGCAACACTAGCTCGATATATGTGGAACACCTCGTTTTTTGTTTTTTCTTCACCAATGTAACCAATCCGTATTTTAAATTATCAATCATTGACTATCTTTGTGAACTCAACTGTGTCAATTTTATTTGTGATTTTGGTCTCCAGCTACGTTGAAGCTGAACACATTTTTCGTAAGTATATTCAGTTAACCCTTCTCCTTCCAATTGGAAGTGAAATCCTTGAAATGAAGGATCGTGCCATCTGGAAAAGGAGGGAGGTTTTAGGTGACATAAAAACAAAAGTTTCCACTTTTTAGGTCCATGGCCCTGTAACTCTGTCTTTCCAGTTGTCTATGATGATTGTAACTATTTAGGAGTTATTATTTCTGAAAAATCAGCTCTTTTCTCTTTAAGCATAATAATTTTCGGAAATGAGAGGGAAATTTTCCTCAAAAACACATCTTGTCAAACCTTAGGTGCTGTTACTTAACATAAAACAGTTCACGTTTAATGCCTTTTTCTTTTCCTATATCTTGATGAGTATGCTTTGGCCAAAATAGAAAGCTAATACATGAGTTAACATAAAACAGTTCATGATTAATGCCTTTTTCTTTTCCTACATCTTGATGAGTATGCTTTGGCCAAAATAGAAAGCTAATCCATGAGTTTAGTTTGGAATGAGTGAGACGTGAAGTACTTTAAACCTTTCAAGATTTAAACATTTAATGATGTATGTTCTCATAGAGTTCTGCTCTTGAACTGCTTTCCTACTATTATTTCTGTTAAAAAAAAGTAAATTCAACTGCAATTTTTTAGTGTAATGCCAAGCATTGTCTTGGTATGGTTTCTGGTGTGTATTGTACTACTCTTGTGTTTAACAAGATGAATAAATGCATTGAATTCTTACGTAATGTAGATAGCTGCCTTTTTAAAAAAAATTTATTTATATTATCCTAAAACTAGCTAGTCTAGCGAGGCGCGTGAGAAGCAAATTTTGAGTTCTGCTAGGGTTTCACTCGATATCAATGGTGGCTAAAGGGGGAAGACCCCCCACCATAGACGAAGGAATTATTGCTACAAGAGAGGCCAAGAAGGCGAAAGGAGAGACGATGACGGATCAGGAGATGCTTGAAGAACCTCTGATTGTGGGCGCAATGGAGGTTGAGACGGTTAGGGAGGACGCGGTAGAGATGGATGCTGCAGGAAATGATCCCACGAAGGGAGATGGGGTACGAAGGGACCCTCGTAGACTGGTCTCTTACAAAGACCAACTCCTGCGAATCAACGACGTATGGGATGGTGGACAGGAGGACGACGATGACTGGTTCGCACACTGCAAACGGGAAGACATCGAGGAGGAGGAAGCTCTGAAAGCTTATGAGCAGATTGGAGAGGATGACCCGCTGAATCCCTTCTACCAATTTGACGTGCTGGAGAAAGTGGAGCAGTGCAAACGCTGGAGGATGGCACTGATAGTAAAGCTCATGGGGAAGAAGTTAGGAGCCAGGTTTTTGTGGAATAGGTTGCACAGGCTTTGGAACCTGGAGGGGAAATACACGGTACTAGATCTGGAAAATGATCACTACCTGATCGAATTCGAGAAGAGCCAGGATTATCTCTTTGTGCAGCAACAAGGGCCTTGGATCATTGCGGATCATTATCTCATAGTGCAAAGGTGGAGACCTAACTTTGATCCGTTTGATGAACAAGTTAAGAAGCTGGTTGTCTGGATTAGAATCCCAGGGGTGCCTAGGGAATACGTATAAGGATTTGTGGAGAATGGGGAACATGGTGGGTAGGACGCTCAGGATTGATGAGAATTCATTGAGAATTAGTGGGCAAGGGCAGTTAGAAGAGATCACTGATAGGGGAAGATTTGCACGCATTTGTGTAGAAGTTGACTTGAGTAAGAGCCTTCTTTCCAAGTTCAGAATTGGGCAAAGGCAGCTGTATATAGGCTATGAGGGCCTCCACATGATCTGTTTTTTGTGTGGGCAGTACGGGCATAAGAAGGAGCATTGTGTGTTCAATCCGGTTAATTATAAGAAGAATGAGGAGAGTGTTGAAGAAGATTTGAATAATCTGGATGCTGGTCCTTGCCACTCTGAGGATTCTGGGAAAGATGAAGTTGAAAGAAGCCAGGAGGTTAATGGCTTTGGGAAGTGGATGACAGTCCAGAAAAGGAATAACAAAAGGCCAGCTCAGCAATTAAAATCCTCGGATGTCTCAGTTAGCAAAGAGAAACCAAGTGTAGGTGGGAAGGACCAGGGTACTAAATCCTCAGCCTCGGGGTCTAGATTTGGACCCTTAGAGGGAGATGCAGGTGATGAAGGCCCTGGCCAGGATCCTGGAATATCTGAATCTACTCCTAATAAGGGGAAGTCTGTGGTGAATCCCAATCAGCAGAAATTAAGCCAAGGTGGAAGGAAAAAGAAAAGTACCAATGGAGGTGGGGAATCAAGTCAAGGGGTTCGAGCTGAGGAAGGCTTCCGGATTACAACTGCCAGTGGCTAAATTACCTGTTTCAAAGGGATCCAAGCAACCTAACAGGATGGCTATTCTTGTGGACAGAGGCTCAGTAAGGGGTAACACTCAGGGTGCAGCTTCTGATATTTCTAGAGTCCAGTTGGAGGGGAATCAGCTTGATAATCCACCTGAACTCAAAGAGAATCCACCTGATGGAGGAAGTGGAGGCAAGGGGGTAGGCCATAATGACAGAACAGGGATGGCCCTGGACGATATTACAAATGCTGCTGCTGCAATGCAAGGACCATTTGGGGTGGTCTAGCTGGGGGTGAGTCTTTCTTTCCTTTTAATTGTAATTTTCATGATAATTAGCACATGAAATTGTAGGGGAGCAGGGAAGAAAGGATTCTCTGCTCTGATTAAAGATTTTGTGTTTCAAAATAAGATCCAAGTGCTGGCCTTGTTGGAAACCAGAATTAGTGGCAATAAGGCCAAACAGGTATCTAGATGTTTAGGCTTTGATAGTTCCTTTATAAGGGAAGCTGTCGGTTTTTCTGGAGGAATATGGGTTTTGTGGAATAAAAATATGGCTAATGTGAGTGTCATTGAAGAGGATCATCAGTTTGTGCACACGAATATTCAGTGGGTGCAATCAGGAGTTGAGGAACTTGTTACTTTCATCTATGGTAGCCCTAGAAGTGTAGAGAGGAGACTGTTGTGGGATAGTATGAGAAGAATTGCTGCTAGTAGTATTGGCAAATGGATTGCAATGGGTGATTTTAACTCATACCTAGAGGAAGGGGACAAGATTGGGGGTGCTGGTCTTAGCTGGAATAGTATGCAGGAATTTGGTGACTGTCTTTGTGAGAGTGGTTTATCAGATTTGGGTTTTTCTGGACCCAAATTCACTTGGAAGAGAGGAACTATACAAGAGAGGATTGATAGGGTGGTGGTTAATGAGGAATGGCACCTGGCTTTTCCTAATAGAGCCATTGTTCACCTCCATTTCCATGGTTCGGACCATAGACCTATAATCCTTAAGGATGATAACAGAATTGGCAACTCTGGAGGTCACAAGCCCTTCAGGTTCCTAGCAGCTTGGCTAACAGATGCTAGTTTTGGGGATGTAGTTGATAGTTGCTGGGAGAAGGATGCTGTTTGGAGTGAAGCTAAAGACAAGTTTCACATTGAGGCTTGTGCTTGGCATAATTCCAGTTTCAAAGAGGCCCAGAGAAGAAAGCACTTGATCCAGAAAAGAATAAAAGGGGTGGACAACCAGTTGTGTAGGGGTCCTGATGCAGCCTTGGAGAGACTCCAGAGATCTTTATGGAGTGAACTAAATTCCATTTACATCCAGGAGGAGATTACCTGGTTCCAAAGGTCTAGGTGCAATTGGCTAGCATTTGGAGACAAGAACTCGAAGTATTTTCATGCTAGTGCTGTGGCTAGAAATAGAAGAAATAAGGTTCTGGCTCTTAAAAATGAGGATGATACATGGGTGGAGGATCCGGAGAAACTCAAGCAGTTGGCTACTGACTACTTTAAGAAGCTGTATGTTGAGGAACCTCAGATCACTAGCACTCTGTGTGGAAATCATTTTCCTGTGATAGACAATCTGAGCTGGAGAAGAATTGACTTAAGTCCTAGTGTGGAGGAAATCAAAAATACTGTGCTTCAGATGCATCCTTTTAAAGCCCCAGGGGCTGATGGCCTTCATGCTATTTTTTTCCAATCTCAATGGGAAAAAGTGGGAAACTCAGTGATTAATTTGGTGAGGAAGGTATTTAAGGACCCCAAGAGAGTAGCTCAGGTGAACCAAACTCTTATATGTCTTATTCCGAAGGTGGATAGCCCAGAGAGGATAAGTCACTTTAGACCCATTAGCCTCTGTAATGTAGTTTACAAGGTTATCACCAAAGTGATTACCAATAGATTGAGGAGTCACATGGGCAACCTAATTATGCCTAACCAGTGCAGCTTTGTACAAGGCAGGCACTCTTCTGATAATATCATAATTAGTCAAGAGATTTTCCACTCTATGAGGTCAAAGAAAGGTAAGAAAGGCTGGATGACTGTGAAGGTGGATTTGGAGAAGGCTTATGACAGGGTGAGTTGGGTATTTTTGGAGGAAACTTTGACTCTTTCTGGTTTGGCTAAAAACATGATCCAACTCATAATGGCTTGTGTCTCCTCTTCCACTATGGATGTCCTATGGAATGGAGAAAAAACTGGTGAATTTAAACCTTTGAGAGGTATTAGACAAGGGGATCCCCTATCCCCATATCTGTTTGTCCTTTGCATTGAGAGACTGGGAAACATGATCACTGAAGCTGTCAATCACAATGCCTGGGTTCCTGTGAGACTAGAAAAGAAAGGCCCCCCAATATCACATCTGTTTTTTGCTGATGATTTGCTTATCTTTTTTGAAGCTAGGAGAGATCAAGCTGAGTTGATTGCTGGTATTCTTCATCAGTTCTGTGAGGCTTCTGGCCAGAAAGTTAGCTGTGAGAAGACAAGATGTTTCTTCTCCAAGAATGTTAACCATACCAGGCGTGGAGAACTTAGCCAGTTCCTTAAGTGTGGGATCACGGCTGATCTTGGCAAATACTTAGGTATCCCTATTCATCATAAAAGAGTGAACAGAAACACTTTCAGATTCATTCTTGATAAGACTAACAGCAGATTAAGTGCTTGGAAGGAAAAGTCCCTCTCCATGGCTGGAAGGGTGGTGTTAACAAAAGCTGTTTTGGCTGCTCTCCCCACTTATTACATGCAAACATCCTTTATCCCTGTTGGAGTGTGTGATGCAGTGGAGAAAAGAATGAGGGGATTCGTTTGGGGATCAAGTTTGGAGAGAAGAAAGATGCATGCTACCTCTTGGGATGTGGTCTGTAGATCGAAGGAAAATGGAGGATTGGGAATTAGAAACTTGAGATTGACTAACAGGGCTTTTTTGATGAAAGTTGGGCATGGAATGCTTACTCATAGGAATGATTTGTGGGTCCAGGTGCTTAAGAACAAATACAAGGTCTCGGACAGCTTACTACCCAAGTTTCCTATGAAATCTGGCGGATCTAATTTGTGGCTGGGATTATCCAAAGTCTGGCCTATGGTACATGAAGGGTCTAGGATTTCAGTGGGTAATGGTAGGGGTACTGCCTTCTGGAAGGACAAATGGCTGTCTATTGGTCCCCTATTAGATCATACCATTCTGGAAATTCCTCCTGAGTTGTTGGATGCCAATGTTGCTTATATGGTGGATGCTAAGGGGGAATGGAAATGGGAGGTGTTTAGAGATATGATTTCCCAGGAGGCATTGAATCTCATACAAGGTATCTGTCCTCCTAGCCTGAATGAAGACGAGGGCAGGGTATTATGGGACTACTCCCAGGATGGGGGGTTTTCAGTTAAATCTGCTTTTAGTTTGCTGAGTAGTGAGGATAGCAGCCACCTTCAAAGTCACTGGAGTAGAATTTGGGATTGGAATGGGCCCCCAAGGGTCAAAACTTTTCTTTGGATGCTCCTTGGGGAAAATTTGCTCACTAATCAAAGGAGAGTCCAAAGGCACTTGGCTACTTCTAGCACCCGTCCTAGATGTCTATCTTTCTCTGAAAGCTGCCTGCATACTATCAGGGATTGTAGCTGGTCCAAAAAGGTATGGCTGAATTTTATTTCACCTTATAAATGGTATGCTTTTCTGGCACTGCCTCTACATTCATGGTTGAGCACTAACTTGGGGGAAAAATCATGCATGGTAGGAGGGATGAAGGGGAATATTCTGTTTGGGCTTGTCTGTTGGTTCATTTGGAAAGAGAGAAACAGATTTCTGTTTGAAAACATTGTTCCTAAGGTGGGTGAGACTGGGAGGTTAGCTTATTCGTATTTTTCAAATTTTATGGAAGCTGGTGTTTTGTATAAAAAGGTTGGCTTGCAGCATGGTATAAGGCATGAGATTATGGTCCAGTGGCGCTCTCCCCTGGTGGGTTGGATCAAAGTGAACACGGATGGCTCTTCCAAGAAGGGAAGTACACAAAGTGGATGCGGTGGCGTTTTACGAGATCATGATGGAAATTGGCTGCATGGTTTTGCAAGGAATCTGGGTTATTGCTCCTCTGTGAAACCTGAGATTTGGGGAATATATTTGGGACTTCAACTAGCCTGGGACCTTGGCTATAGGAGAGTTATACTGGAGGGTGATTCACAAACAGCTCTAAACATGATTAGAGAAGGAGTGGCAGACTCTCACCCTCTAGTTGGGTTGGTGAAGAAGGTCATTCTGTTGAAGAACCTTGACTGGCAGTTAGAACTCGTGCACACCTTTAGAGAAGCCAATAGGGTTGCTGACTGGATGGCCAATTTTGCAACATCTCAAGGATGGGAGACTGTCTTTTTGGCTAATCCTCATGAGGATAGTCTTAGTTTATTGAGTAGTGATGTTATAGGAGTAGCTTGTCCTCGCCTAGTTAGAGGCGTGTAATTTTGTTTTATAATTCCTTTGTTTCCAAAAAAAAAAAAAAAAAATTTATTTAATTGCATATTTTATGCTGACAACTGTTATATTTCAGACGAAAAAATATTTCAAGGAGATTGGTGTTCATGCTGATGTGAAATATATTGATCCAACATACATGATTCGTGCATGTCGAGCAAATGCATCAGATGGAATTTTATGCACTGTACTTGGACAAAATGCTGTTAGTCTCTCTCTCTCTCTCTCTTTTTTCTTTCAATTATAGCATAAAAGTTTGAACCTATGACCTTATGCAAACTATTTAAATCACTCACCATTAGCCATTGCTAGTGGCTTCTCTCTTTTGCCTAGTGGCGCATATGTATGATTTCAGTTTATTTTGTCAGTTCACTTAAAACAGTTTATCAGATTTTTATGCTAATCAACATTTGACTGCTACTACTTTCCAGTTCAATCAGTTATATATTGTATTTATGCTTCACTAAATCAATGTTCAGAATTTAAATATCAATCTAAGTTACTAAGTTCCTACTTGGTTTACTTTCTTTGTAGAGAAAGATGTAAAATTATATAAAATATTACTGAAATTTCAGAATTCAAGAGTTCAAGCTTACAAAATGTGGAAAATATGACTCCAAATAAGACATACTACTGGATCCAATTTGTCTCTGTTAATCTACTTGTGATTTGTTATCCTTCACGGGGTGTTTGGATTAGCATATTTTTGGAAAACAATTACCTTTTCTTTTCTTTTTTTCTTTGCACGAGAGTTTTTGAATGAAAAGCGATTACTTCCCATAATTATCAGTTACCAAAAAACCCCTTAATAAGTCTTTACGAGATCACCCTAGTGAAACAAGAGAACCTTGTGTTAGCTTAATTTGCATTATGAACCAATTTTCTTTTAACCATCTCAAAACTTGATGAGTTTGAGATACCTGTGAAAAGGAAATGTCCTTGATTTCTTTCCTACCTCTTGTCCCCCAGCACACAATACTTAACCTCTATGTATATCTAATAAGATTGTCCATATCTGTTACTTTATATTTGATATTGATTCACAGATTTTGCATTGCAGGTTCATGGTGCATTTGCAGGATATAGCGGCATTACAGTAGGCTTATGTAACACTCACTATGCTTACTTACCCATCCCCGAAGTAATATCTCATCCCAGGTTGGTGGATCCTAACAGTAGAATGTGGCATCGTTGCTTAACTTCAACAGGTCAACCTGACTTCATTTGATAATTTACCCTTTCCAATAAATTCAAGAGGCTTGGGAACTTAGGCCTCCGAAGAATATATCATAGATTTGCGAAAATAATACAAAGGATAACATTTCCTCCTTATTCCAAAAATTGGTTGTTTGTATAGCATGGCAGTTTCATTGTGCTGCCAATTGCATTCAAATTGAAATTTTAGCAGAATCACTAAGCACTATGTGCTTAATTTTGATCGATTTGTAACGCTTGTTTAACCGATATTAATGGCCAAATTTAATGAGAGTACTTAGGTAGATAAAATTGTTGCGTTTGATATTCATGCGTCGGTTGTTGGATTGCATGTTCATATTTGCTATCGTGGGATAAATTTCGTGGTTAAAATTGTGCAGGGTAATTGGCAAAAATTTTGCAGTTATCCAGCTCCAAATTGACATCATACTCAGCCCCCAATTATTCCTCTAGTCCTGGATCCCAATTTAGTAGAAGTAATCTCAACCATCATATCATGTAATTAAAAGACATGTTATCATTTCTATCTAGAATTTAAGGGAGAACTATTTATCCCTTTAAATAACATAACTTGTGTCATTTTAGGGGGTGTATTGGATTAGGATTTTAATTTTTTTTTTTGAGATAAAGAATCTTATAGATTTTAAAAGACTATTTAGAATTGGAGAGACTTTAAAGACTTTTTTAAAAGACTTTTTTTATAATCAAGATTTCATAAGATTGGATTTTAAAGAATTTTAATAGAATTTATAAGATTTAAAAGCACAATATGAATTTATAAGATTTTAGAAAATCATATGAATTTTTAACAAACATTCAAAATTACAAGAGTCAACAAAGAAATTATTAAAAAAAAGTAAAACCTAATATAATTTTTTGAATCAGTAAAACATAATATAATTTTTAACAAACATTCAAAATTACTAAGAAACAGCTTTTCACATATATAAAGTTATACTAGTCTTCCATGCATTAGTATTTTCTCGTTCCTGCTCTTGGGTTTGACCAATGAGTTGAAAATTATCTTCTTCATTTGGTATCAAAGCTATGCATATATGATTATAAGATCCAAGTTTTTTTAATTATTAAAATAATTCTAAATTTGCATATAGAACCTAAAGTTCATGATAAAATTTCATTTGGAATTTTTTGAAATTGATCTTGAAAACTTTGGGGTTTTTGTTCTACGTGATGAGAGTTTTCTAACCATATATCATATGCATATTTTCATTGAATATTCTAAAAAAAATCTGAATCTGAATTTTTGGATTTTATTACATGAAAGTTTAGAAAATTTCTTAATTTTTTTCAATCGATACATTGAAAACTTAAATTGCTTTGGGGCTTTTAAAAACAAGTTTTTAGTTATCTATTAACACAAAAATTGTTTCCTACAATGAAGGAATTTCGTTCATGAATGTATTTTTACGAAATATAAGGTTCATATTATGAAAGTTTCAATCTTTCTTTAAATTGATATTGTTTCATTGATGTAAAACGAAAATTGTTTGAGGTTTTTAGTTTTCCTGTTATTTTCCTATTGTTTTATGTTGTTTTTAATACAAAAGTCACACATTTTTGTGCCAAGAAAAACTGCGACTCATAGCTTGAAAATTCACTTTTTAAACTTTCAAAATTTCTCAAAAATGGCTCGAAAATATGTTGTTTTGAGATAAATTATATTAAAATCTCGTTGGTTAGTTTTTTTTGGTTGTTTTGTGATGAAAATCGATAAAAAATATGCTATTTTTGAGTTTTGACGAAACTCCCATGGCGGAACCCAATTTCGAGGAAGAGAACACTGCAACAGAGAAATCTCAATAAATCCTAGGGGTTAGTGTGAGATTGTGAGAGAGACATCTTATTTATATTTCTTACTAAAAAGTCTCACGAAATCCACACCAATAGAAAATTCATTAAAATCGTTAGATTTTTGAATACCACAAGATTATTTTTCCATTGTTTAAAATCTTGATTGAATACCAACAGATTTGGACGGACTCTAATATAATCTTTTAAAATCTTAATCGAATATCACGTGACTTTTTTTCAATCCATTAAAATCCTAATTGAATACCAATGAATTTTTTTGACCAAAAATAATCCATTAAAATCCCAATCCAATACATCCCCTTACTCTCACAAAGAATAAGATTTACATTTTTATTTTTTTTGTCCATCTCACTCCTATAATCTATCTCTTTCTTTTTATTTAAAATTATATAATTTTACATCCTTTAAAATGACACACTTTTCCCATAATCTAATCATGTAAATAAAAAACACTCTGAGCTGGTGAAAGAAAGAAAATTTTCAATGCAACAGGATCACCGAAACCTTTTATTAAAATGGGATTTTTTTTTACCCATATTTTTTTGAGGTAGGATATTCATACTACCAAATTTTTCTACTACTACTTCACTACCCCTCTAATCATCATTGAATTCAAAAGTTGTTTTTCTTTTCTCTCTCTTCATTCAACTTTTTCTCTAATCCAATGGTGGTTAGAGTGATAGTGAAGTGGTAGTAAAAAAATTTGGTAGTATGAATATCCTACCTCTATTTTTTTTTGTATTTCCCTTTAAGTACGAAGAAATTTTCTTTTTTAATAAAAAGAAATACTGAGTTCGGTGATCCCGATGCATTAAAATTTTTCTCGGTAAAAAGAAAACTTTGAAGCTAAATGACACAAATAACAAGTGAAAAATTAACTTCCAAAATTTTGGTGTGCAAAATATGGATGAGTCAGGTACAGGTCAAGTATATTGCAATTTTCAAGGCATACACAAATTATCAAGCTTAGAAAAATGAAATGAGTGGCAATCATTTAAAATATGACCCATAAACTTGATATATCTGACGGTTATAGAAGATGTGATGTAAAAAGCCAAAGTTCTCCAAGTATTGAGATCTCCTAACCTAAAAGATGTTTTTGTAGTCTCATTAAAAATAATAAAATTTACGAAAATTAATTTACAATAATCATTATCTATCTTCATCTTCTAAGCTTGATTTACATTAGTCAAAGACAGACTTCGGTCAAAGATTACTCTCTCACTACCTGTCAATTTCTCGTACTCAGAAAATAAATTCGGCCAAAGAAATGAGGTAAAAACACTGATATTTCTTGGCAAGGAGAATCAGAGCTGGTCAGCACGAGTGATCTTTCTCATGTTCATCAATCCTTTCTTCTTTATAATCCTTCTTTTATTTCTCACTCTTGCAGGAGCTAAACCAAAAACTTGAATTCCTTCTTTTGAACCTTTTGAAAAATCAAAGCTCTCAAACTCCATGAAGCTAACCCTGCAATTGTAGATTATTGCATGATATAAGCATAATCATGTCTATGTTACCATATAGGGGTGCTAAACGAGCCAGGGCCTTACAGGGGGCTTTGGCTCCGCTCGTGAAGATCTGAGCTTACATATTTAAAATTGATTATTGGACCCAGGCTTGGACTTGTATAAAAGCTCGTTTAATAAAAAGGCCTCAGGCTCCAATTCAAAAACTCGGCCTTAGAGCCTTTCAGGCTTGCCTAATATATTATTTATTTATTTATTTATTTATTTTTTATATTACTTGTGATAACCCTCTCTCTCTTCTCAATTCATTTCATCTCATTTTATTAATTAAACAGACTTTTTAAATGATTTTGTTTTATATTATACTATTTGGATATACATTAAATTTATGAATATTTATGGAATTACTAGTGCTGTTGATTGTATATTTTGTTTGGATAAATTTTTGTTGTCTTATTTTTTTAAAACAGACTAACAGGCTAAACAAGGCTTTTATTTTTTGTAAATGAACCAGGTCAAAGGCTGATATTATATTCGTAACAGGTAACAGGCTAAGGCCAGTCTGACACATTTGAACACAAACTCGATCCGTTAAGACCAAAGCTCAGCTCGGTTCGGCTCGTTAACACCGCTATTACCATACTAGTTAACCGCTAACTTATCCATGATATAACATTTTTTTTATATTATTTACTGATTTATCAATTTCTCAAATAATCTAGTTCAAGCTGAGTAGGATTATATGAGCAGTAAAATCTGTCAAGCATTCATAAAAGTAAAACAAGGCATTCATTAATCCCCTCTCTCTCCTCATAATGATTTCTGAATACTAAGCATATTTTCAGTATTTCTTATATATTAAGGTTGAAACCTATAATCTCATATAGATCAATCAAAATCCTCACCAGTCACCACTAAATCAATTCTAATAGCTCTTTCAGGACTCTTGTCTATTTCATTACTAAAATGTGATTTATATGTTATTAATCATAAAAGATGGGCAGAATAAATACAGGTTAAGAAACAGGGCACAATACCAGACCACCAACACCGCGGCTAGATTAAAATAATATAAGATTATTCACCAAAAAAAATAAAATAATATAAGATTCATGTGGGTCCAAATTATTTATTTTAAAATTACAAATTTCATGTTACAAAAATACATTTTGTATAATAAAGACTATAAATTGATTAATACAAATTACAGACTCAAAAAATTATAAACTTTTATTACTAATTTAAAAATATTATTAAAAAAAAGATTTAAAGAAGTGTACCTCAAATACTCATCTGACACTACGAAAAACTAAGAAATGGATAAATGAATTGACTGAAAAGAAAGAGAGAGCGAGTAGAAGGAAACCTAACAAAATTGCCATCACCAATAATGGACCGATACTTTAAAAATTCTGGCGTGTTGTGTCCGATATTTCCCAATACTCTAACACACGTTGCAGAGATTCAAATGCTTGCATTTTATTTTTAGTTCCAACTATTAGATTCGTTTGTTTACGATTACTATTTTATTGAATTTAATATAAATATTTGGAATATCTTATATTTCTTTGTAAAATTGATGGATTTTATAAGTTTAGCTTAATTTTTTTGTTAAATCATTAAATATTAAATATAATATACACTACATAAATTAAAATATTATTTAATATCAAAACGTGTTCTAACGTGTAGAAATTTAACATTTTTTAGAATTAACGTGTTGGAGTTTCGTGTTGTGTCGTATCTCATATCCCTTGTCGGTGTCGGTGCAACATAGGTCGTCACTACCTTCACTCAAATGTAAAACTTCCAGCAACTTTTGTCAGTGTCGCAATGACACCACTGTCCATTCTTAGGTCCCACAACCAACACTGCATGGAGAATGAAAGTGTGTCTTCTCATGTTGAAATTTCACATGACTTGTTCATGTAAAATAGCTTATGACATATTTCTCACATGATATCAA